TTTTGACTGAATTATGTATGAGTCACGTTTCAAGATCTTGATACAGAATCCTCAAGATATGTCAGACTCAGAACCGTACTAGATTCTGATCAAAATCTTGATCAAGAGTTGTTGATGTATCCGAGAAAATCGCGTCTCAAATTGGGGCGTTTTGAAAACCTAATCACTCAAAAGCGAAAACGGATACCGAATTCAGGTTTGTGCCATTGAGAAGATCAACGTTTAGGCTACATTTTGACTAAAAAATAAAAGTTACTTACTTGCATTTTGACCGATTTCTGATGAGCACAAAAGTACCGCTTGCGCCCATTTTTTTAAATTAATAACTCACCAAGGACATATGAATAACTCACAACCCGTAACGTTGAAACCTAGTTGTATAGACAACGTTTTGGGCTCTATCGAATAGCCGTCGCAGATTTTTTAAAAACCTTTCGTTGAACGAAGCTTACCTATAGGAATGTTTTATTGAAAAGTGTTTTTTATGGGATTTTTTTTTCAACAAGTTCTGCATGGTTTTTTTTAAAAGCAAAGATGAGGTTATATATAACTTTTCACGGGCTACAAGATGCTCATAATGAGATTTTATCAGGTTCTTGGTCTGTAAGAAGTAGGCGGGGATGTGTGAAAACACCCTTATGATAAGTACGAGAACAGCTAGCTTACTTATGTAGTATTTTTCCTCCTAATCCGCTGGCAGAGGTTTCTGAGAGTTTCAGAAAAAACCTATGTTTTAAAAAACGCCCTTTATAGAAATTTTCCCGTTCCAGCGAATAATTTGATTTCAATATTCGAATTATAGGAACTCTTTCGGATAAAATGTGTTAGCTTTAATTTTAAGAACGATTCTAGATTTTCTAATGCTCTTTTCGAAAAAAATGCTTGCAAATACAAACAATCTAATATTGTTCCTTATTTTGACAACAACTCACAAATAATTGTAGTTAGAACGTTGAAGAAGAATTTTTACCAAACTTTGACAAGACCACCATTCCCCGGAATTGTATTAATTTTTTCCATGGCCTGGTAGCCCGTGGTCTCGTCTTCAAAATGAAAGCCAAGCGAGACCTTGATTGTTCGCGGTCCAAGCGTTTTATCGGATTTCCTATGAGGACTGGCACCTGCTCACTATTGGTTGCGTTGAAAACTGACGGATCATAGGTAATCGATTATGCTCAGTGTCGTGGCAATATTTGTTCTTAGAAGAAGCTTTAAAGATCCGGCAAAAAAGTGAGTTTTACGACCATTTAGGCTTTCAGGCTGTTTTCACCTAATATTAAACGTTTCACTATTCATCAAAAAACATCAGAAACAAGAATCTCCTATAAAATACAGCCTAAATACTGTATATTTGAAAGTTTTGTACTCGTTCTTCCGAAAGAGTTTCTGAAAACCCCATTAACAAAAATAAACTTTTTCAATTTTTTCGACGATACAATCACATTTAGCTGACAAAATTAACCATATCCTGAAGTTTTGAACTTGTTGTGATTTGTTTTGAATGAATAGTAAATCTTTTAATATTAGGTGAAAACATCCAGAAAACCCTAATTTTCGTAAACTCGCTTTTTGCTAGATCTTTAACACTTTTTCTAAGAGCAAATATTGCCGCGAGGCTCAGCAGGATCCATTTACCTATAATCCATCAGTTTTCAAGGCTACCAATGGTCATCGGAAATCAGTCCTAGGGCATGGTAGGAAGTTTTTGAAAGATCTCCTAGAAAATCTGTTCTGAAAACTCTTCTGAAAATTATTTTTGTTGCGAAAACATGTCCCCAAGTCTCTTCTTTCGCATGGCGAAAACCGAAGCTCTCTAGCTGCTTTCTATCAAAAATTATTCAAACAACAGCCATGGTTCTTATATTTTGAAATGGATAGTAGTAAAGGAGTCTCTAGCTGATTGTTAATGCAATTACACGAAGATTTTGAATGTCCAAATCCACGTTTAGCCCATTACTATTCACTCACCGACGGTTCTGCACTTTTTTATGCAGATATTACAACTGGTTAGTTAATATTTCGCATGCACCAACTGTTATGTACGAAATGAAAAAATTACAAGGCTAAACAAACATGTTCGTGATAATAAAACCAGTTTGTACTTATACTGGAAGGATGAATTGTATTGAGTTGTGATTCAAAATCTATATGATAGATAAAAAATATTTTTCTACTTGTGTTCTCTGCGTAGCTTTCGTGACGCATAATATATATTTACATATATAACTTCATAAAACATACTACAAGGTTATCTAAAGGGTGACCTCGACATTTGACATTCAGTTAAACAAACCGTCTGTCACTCATGTCAAATATATATAAGTAAAATGCATTTCTCTTTTGACCTTTCCTTCTATTTCTTAAGTAATTGAATAAAAGGTTGACATGCTTTACTACGCTATCGTATTCTAGAATATAGTCGTATCATTTTGTTGATGTTTTCTAGTGCACTATCGATAGTGCGCTTTTCTGTTTTACTTCTTCTGATATTCACAACAGTTTTAAAAAAATGTATTGTAAGAACCAATGTCTCAAACAGCTAGTTTGATGTCTCGCTTAAGAGATAACATAAACAACCAGCCTATAGTAACTATTGTAATTGTTTAGGAGAGAGGGACACAGAAATACATAGTCTGAAGGCCAAATGCATGAGCTTCAGCGTCATTCAATCACTCAAGTATTAATCGATCAATCAAAAGTGTATTTATGGTTCAAATTAGCTATTTTCAGGCCTTCTGAACGTTCGTTGATTATTTCTTCCAAATTTATCCAGTCAAAATATGTTTCGAAGTTGGCTGCGAATTACTATTATGAGGGCCTTGAACTTCCAGAGTGACTGTAGATTGATAAAACAGCTATCTTTTAGTGACTATTGAGAGTCAAGACAGTAAGTCTAGACCATTAACAGAAGAGAGTCATGAGCACATTTTAGTGCCAAGGTAAAGTATTCATATCTCTTGTATCACGAATTCCTAGGCCCATAATTAGGGTTATTCATCGCTTTTTCTATTATGCTATCGGATCTACAAACATTTATAATTGAAAAAGCTTCATATTTCGATATATTATACTTTTGTCTTCTACAGCAGGATAAGACTATTATACTTTGTGAAGCTCGAAACTCAATACTGATACAGTATTTTTTTTTCATACAGAAACCGTCATTTTATAAGAAAACATTCTCCTTTTTTTGTAAAATGTGAAACAAAAAGAATATTTCTAAACTTTGAATACGTTTTGCGGTCGTGACATATTAGCAGTCTAACAGACAAAACATGGTAACATATAAATAAAATATACAGCGAATTTCTTTTTTGCTTTTGAGCCTTAACTCCTCTCTATTTGACTACGTAATATCTGAATAGACCTGTAGCTAGCTATATTACATTTTTTTTTTTTGTTTCTGTTAATGTAATGTAAAAAAGCGAAAATGCGGTCGTACGCACATTCTTCTATGGGTTAGAGCAGCTATATTGAGCCTTTTGCACATTTTTTCTTCTGGCATCTAGCTTTTAATTAATGCTGCAGTTACCTGCCAATAGCATCTAGAAACGATATTTAGTATCAGCGGACGAGTTTTAAAAGACCACCGATAAAGATTGAATGGAGAAACAATCAATGACATTCAGTTGCTAAGAAATTTTAAAAGAAAATGGTGATTTTTATTGATGTAATCGATAAATATAAAATAATTAACAAATTATTTTCAATGAAAAAGTCTCACCTATTGTCAATTTTTTCAAAGAGTAGAACAGGACCAGAGTTCTAAGGTCACATGACGTCACAGGATATTGTAGGGTTAAGATTCTTCGAACAGCTACTCTACACTGGAAATCACCGTAGTTGGTGTTTATGACCGTAGGAATTATTTCATAAACCATCCGGTAAAAGAAGACTATACTGGAGTGGTGATCGGCATATCTACGTTTCTTCTTCTAGTTAGTGCTTAGATATTTGCTGAGAAATATTACTAGAAAGGTCTTTCTTAACTTTCATCTCATTTGAAGTATATCAGTGACTGAAAAAATTGAGTAGTTCGTATGCATCATTCTTAAACGTTGCAGAGTCGAATAAACACTTAAATACTCGTTCATATTTCCAGATTAGAATAAAAGATGTAATACCTAACCTACGGTTTCGTTTACTTTGTCAAAAAGCCTTGATTCTGCAAGGCTACAATCTATAAATAGTTTTTCTAAATTAAATTCATATTAACAATTTAGCATAATAATGTAGACAACCTAGTAACATTTAGTTTCATTTTTTTTAAACACTTTTCCTTTTATTCACGAAATAATGGTAAGATAAAAATTTAGTTTCTTATGTACTTTATTATTCAACATCTATATTGATCGCGTGCCAAAGAAGTATACCGAAAGTTTTCATGCTCTTTTGATAATGTCAGAGCATTTTGACCGTGACATGACATCGTATATATTAATATTAAACGACTAATTATACCTCCATACATAAAATATATTGACCTTGTTCTTTCTTCTTCTCGTAGACAGTACATCGGAAGAAGAAAGAAAAAGAAAATCATCGTTGCTATATTACATACAGATATAATAAAATATAGAAACATCTGACTCAAAGTTAAACAAATGTATATAAAAATAAAAAACTATTTTTTTTCTATACTATTAGTTGCTCTATTTGGTCGCTATTTTTTTTTATTTCATTCTATTTGTACTTTTTTCTTTCTCTTGCGAAGCTATAATACAAAAACGTCAGTTCACACTGTTAGGTTCTTATGACCATATACGTATTTGCACTCTATTATGCAGACCTAATATAATCTTAGTAGATTATTGTGACATAAAAATGACATGCTCTATGGTTTTTCTGAAAAGAAAAAAGAAAATAACATTTATTCTTACATGTCTATATAAACTAGTGCGGTCCTTATACATACAAAAAAAAAGAAGGTTAGTCGTTTCAATTACTAAAAACAAGTATTTGTTTATCTTAGTATAATATAAAAGTACGATATTATTATCATGGAAGTTACAAATGATACAACAGATTTATTTCGTAAATTTAAATTAAAACGTAATTTAGTCACATTAAATTGCACGGAAACAAATAAACACCTAAAATGTAATAGTATATATTCATTATCAACGTTTCAATTTAATCGCAGTGACAGTGACATGATCAATTTGTGTAGTAATTCAAGTTCAGAATCATTACGTTCAAATACACCAGAATTATTTGTTGATGGACATTTTCAAGAGTCTCCACCATCAACAGCCTTTTATCCTACACAAGCTATTACTCATCAATCCGATAACTTTTCTTCACAACTTCATCGTGTTAAAAGTTTTTCACCATCTTGCTCCATAAGTTCAACGACATCTGAAGAAAAAGAGGTTGATATACGAGACAAAGGGCCGATGAATACTGTTCAATCATTCTCTCTTTCAAATGGTACTAACAGTTCATATTCTATGACACCTGTACATCAGTCACCCAGTATAGAGAAAACAGGATTTTCATTTAATCCGACATTCGATTTTCAATCATATCAAGAGCAAGATGAAATGAAAAACCAAGGAAATAAAATAAGAAAAAAAATACAAAAAAATCAATCATTTAAACATGGAAATAATATTGAAGACGATCAGACTGTTCATCAAACACCAGATATTGAAGAATTAAAAAAACATGAAGAAGCTCTTCTAAGGCAAATAGAATTTTTAGATTCAAATGTTTATGGAACAGAAGACAATTACAATAATAATAATAATAATAATAATACAGATTATCAGGTAAGGTTACGATGTTCTTCGAATGATCTCATACTATTGTATAGTACAATTTACAAATACAGTTTTGTATAATTAATCTCTTTTTACTTTAAATAGTGTCTACAACGTGATTCGTCGCCATCATATCATAGACAAAATGGTTTATGTAGTCCTGTTAACTCATACGGATTGGAGAAAGATAATATATTACCAAAAATAAATCATACTAATAATAATAGTCGAGAAAAATTAGGAGAATGTGTTGTTTGTAAAGATCGTGCCACTGGTATACACTACGGTCTGTTAACGTGTGAAGGTTGCAAAGGTAAGTTGTATAGATCATTAGTTATTAGTCATAAGAAACTCAATAATTCATTTTTTTTAGGATTTTTTAAACGAACCGTACAAAATAAACGAAAATATCGATGCAGTGTCAATGGAAATTGTGTCGTAGATAAAACACAACGTAATCGTTGCCAACACTGTCGATTTCAAAAATGTTTAAAAAGTGGTATGGTAATTGGGGCTGTACGTTTGGATCGTGCGCCAGGTGGACGAACACCAGAAAATGTTGCACGTCTCTACAGGGTATGTATCGAATTATTATTTATAGCTGCTTTTACGGATCGTGTACAAGAATTAAGAGTAAATTGTTTATATTAACTGTAAATTTAATAATAGCCAAACATTTCGGCTTGGTAAAGCCTTTATCAATGGCAAATTTGCTATTGATAAAGGCTTTACCAAGCCGAAATGTTTGGCTATTATTAAATTTACGGTGAATATAAACAATTTACCCTTAATTCATGTATAGAATACAACTCTAATTTTTTTTCTTTATACTAATTTTCTTTTTTTATTCTAGTATAAAAATGCTCAAAATTTAGTCATATCTCAACCATCAATCGATTCTACTCATAATTTCGAATGTGTTTTGATGAATTCATGTAATTTAAAATCAGCAATGGAAGAAAAACTGAATACGTCTCTATCTCTATCACCAACACCTACAGAAAAATATCGTTTCGATCAATTATCAACAATTGACTCCATGTTTGATCTACTTAAACAATTACTAAACGTAACAAACATGGAAGATTTATCATTAGCGATTAAAAAAATATGTAATTCAATGATCGATCGTTTTATGTTATGGTACAAAGATTTGCCATTTTATCAACGTCTCAATTTGGAATTAAATAATCAAATAATGGGTAATCGATGGTCAGATGTATTATTTTTCTTTGTGGTGTATTTTCTATCGACCAATACGACTTATTCACAATCATATCTCCTATCGCATAACGAACACTTAAAACGTTTATTAAAATATTTAAATATTGAGAAAAAAAACACTGTCAATAACAGTGACGACGGAAATATGAATTTGAATGATAATCAATATATTCGATATATTACTGAATTATTAATTGAATTTATTCATTTAATGTTACAATGTAAATTAACTGAAACAGAATTTTCATTAATTAGTATTTTACTTGTGACAAAAGCTGGTAAGATATAACCATAAAAACTGTTTTGTAATATTATTATCGTTTTTTATTTTTTTTCATTGTAGAAGAACCATTGAATATTCATATTCACAAGGAGTTAAACTCATTAGAAAATTCTTATTTGGATGTATTACAATCATATGAAGTCAAAACGTATCCACAACAACCAACGCGTATGACGCAAATAACATTATTGATTAGTCAAATCAAACACATCTCACAATCACTTGTAACAAATAGAATGTTCTTTCTCCCATTTTTACTAATTCCGAGATCTTTATAAGATATTTATGTTGTTTTGTAAGTTAAATACATATTTTTCTTTCTCAATGTATCGATGGATCTTTCACATATATATTAGTGAATAAAAGTGTACAGATAAAAATAAAACAGGACTTTGGTCTTGAATAAAAATAGGTTTTAATATTTAATAATCAAGCGTTTCACTTTTTCCTCTTATGTGAATTAGGTATGCGTTTTATTCAAGCGAAGAGAATAGTTATAACCAAAAAATATTTTGTTTTTCACGCGTTGTATGCATGATCACTTAGACTATAATACAAGTGGTCATGCGTACAACTGTGTATAGACGTTCTTTATTTTCTATGTTTATGTGACATCATCTGTAAAGAAGATATTATATTTTATGATTTAGATACGTGAAAAGCGATGTCTCTCGTAATACATGTACAGAATTTGCCAGTATATATAGAACTTCTACCCAAATTTGAATACTTTACACTTCGGAAACACGTATTGCTGGCTTAGTTAAAAAATACTAATATCTAGTTTCAGTATCATTAGATAAAACACACAGATTACGTATATAGAACAATTATTGACTTACTGTTTAATTTTTTTCACAAGTTTCTCATTATTAGACAAGAATTTAAAAGAGAACATTTGAATTGTTTAGAGAACACAAATTAATTGAGATAGAAAAGAGAACGCATATTGAATTAAGAATATTTAATTTTTACTATTTTCTCAATTACTAAACATAACACTATACGATTGCTATATATCGATGCTTTATCTATGCAATTCGAATAAACCCTTGGAATGAGAAATTTTTGAAAAAGTTTGAAAAATTGATGTATTGTACGGCTGATAAAAAACGCGCATCCTCCAAAAGTCAATGTCGATTCAAATTGGGATTTAAATGATGTTTGTACTTCTTAAGTGGAACCGCTAGAAAACTTTTTTGATACCCTTTGCATTTGGTTAAAAATGAACTACTAATACAGTGAAAAATGCGTGCACTTTTCTTCCGCATTTTGGATAACATTTCCGCTTTTCTGACCTAAGCAGCTGACAACTCTGGTTCCATCACACTTTTTTTATGAATGTTATATACATTAAAAAGGCGCAATGCACTAACTACGGTTAAGACCATTAATCATCCATCCATAAGCCACAGATAAATTACGTAGTCACATTTAAGACATCGAAATGTCCTGAAGACACTATGAGTGCATAAAGCTCACGTCACACGAAGGCACTATGAGTGAATAAAACTCGAATTCAGCCCCTTCGTAGAGCATGACGCATATTTTACATCAAAATATTTGTGTCATGCGTTACTGACAAAATACAGTCAGCCGTGGCGAAGGATAAACGTCCTTGCTTGTAACAAGTACGGCCAGACGTTGCACAGAATTCAATGGTTCTAAGTGAGTTTCATGACTACTATCAAAAATACCAGAGCCATAGTCCATGATCGGCCTTACGCATAGAGGTGCAGAATCTATCCCCCGTGAGATTGGAAAGTTTCCCCCGACGGAAAAAGTTGTCAGAAATTTTTCCGACACAGAATTTCAAGAACAGAATTCACGAACAGAATTTCTTTTCCAAAAAGAAATTCTAATTTTCAAAAAAATTTCGCCGAATCAATAAATTTTCCCCCGACGACCGTCAGAGCAAACAGACAGATTCTGCAGCTCTGCTTACGCAAGTTGTGTATAAATGCCTTTTTAGCTTAGATGGTGAATCGCGGAATATTCTGAGTATAATCCAGGCATTTTTTCCCAAGCAAGGCAGTTTTCTCAATATGCGATTTTCATTTAAGGTCGTGAGATATCCTTAAACACAATAGCTTTATTTCACTAACTCTTTTAAGAATTTCATCTCCTATTCTAACGGCTACCAGCGAAAGAAAGGCGAGTGACCTATGAAATAGGATCCAGTTATATTTTTCAGCATCCAGTTATATTAACATCTGATGAAACCATATGTCAATTTTATTATTTCACACCTAACCGGATCAAGGCTCTCATCTGACTCTAGTGGTATCATACAAAAGAGATCATTAGTAAACAATGATGGTACTGTTGCTGGATCCAAAACACTCCGGAAGTAGGTCACTAATAAAAATGATGAATAGCAAAGAGCCTAAAGTAGACCCTTGCGGGATCCCGGACTTTACCACCACATAGTCAGATGTTAAAAATCTTTACTTGTTGAATCCTATGATCCAGATAGGAGTGAAACCACTGAAACAACATTTCGTAGTTAATTATCCTATGTTGCGAAGTATAGGCTATAGAACTTTCAGTGTTCAGATCCTTGGCTTTCCAATTGTTGTCTCTTTGATTTTTCGAGAGACTACAAATATCAAAAGTAGCTAGAAAAAGAGTATATTTTTGATCCTTAGAAGAAAGATATATTCTTAAAAATAATGCAAGAGTTTTTCAATTCTAGTCTAATTTGTTTTCTCAAACATCTGAGTATGATGTTTAAAAAGCCATTTTTCTGTAAGAACTTTGCAATTTTAATCGATCTAGAAGCGAATTTTAAAAATCTGTTGTGCCATATCGTGCGTCTTAATGTTATATTTACATCCTGATAAGGGTGTTATGTGTTGGCCATTAAACGACTTAAAAGTTGGCTGTACGAGTGCGTTTATTGTATCGACAGAAGGCAAGAAAATAGTACCGAGATGTGGCGATCTTATCAGAATATGAATATGGATCATTCAACTCGCTACGACATCTTATTTGAAATAATTCACACATTGTCTCTCTGAACAGAGGACCGGCCTGATGCAGTTCTTTTCTTTTTTACATGAGCTCAAACATCTAATTTAATTCGATTTGATAGAAAAATACAATAGCCATTCGTTTTCTACCGATCTTTTTTCGTACTAATCTAAATCAGACGAATTTAACAACTGAGACTCGGCATTCGGCCCAGAATAGTAGTTCTACAAACAATCGAAATATTCCACACATAGCCTTCAATATTACGAGTATCTCTTTTATTAGATTAAATTGTTTACAAACGTAAAATCATTCTCCCTAATAGTAACTCATCTACAAAGTATCTCAAAATTCTTCTATCAGTTTGCAGTTATTATCATTCTGTCCAATTCTTGAACTTTACTTTCTGCAGTATTCGTATAAACTCCAATAGATAAGAAAGAAGAAACTAAGTTTATAAATATTTTAAATGAACGAGACGAATAATATATATATAGAACTTAATAACAATAATGATGATGATAGATGATTAAAAAACCAACAATAAAATAGACACTAAAATAAATAGATAATAAAAAGTGAATAACGAAACAAAACAGAAAAATTAGAAATTCTTTTTCTTTGAATTCATAAATATGAGCTAATTCAAATACTCGAGAAAAATGTTCTGTGTAACCTGAAGCGACGAAAACACACTAAGATATCAGTAGAAATTAAATTAAGGTCAACAATAACGTTTAATTCAGCGGGTCATACATTCTGTTATGTTGATTTTTCAAGCATAAGTGAACAACACAGTTTATTGCACAAGAATGTATTACATTAAAAGGGAGACATGTCGAAAAGCCTTTGAAATAATGAAATTATCCAGAAGAGTTATAAGCAAACTTCTTTCATTAAGAAAATGACATGTGATATCTAAAAAAACAACAATAAAGACAGTAAGAAAAAACATAATAAAAATACTGATACATAGATTAGGCTGAATATAAAACAACATTCTTTGCTCTTCTATTCGGCCACATATTTAGATCTATCTTCTCTCTTTGAAAAATAACGATTAAGACAACAAAACAACAATGATGTATACGTTTTTGTGTCTATTTTTTTTTCTTCACTAGTCACTGATTATCTACCATTCTTTCTTTCTTGCGTCAACTGATACACCGCCGGGTCCCAATGCCACCACAAATAATAAACCTCCAATGACGGACATTGTTTGAAAAAAATCATATTTTAAAAAATCGTGTAATGCACGAGTATTTGGCACTAACCAGAAACTATTAGCATAAACATTGATACATATTAAATAGAGTACCAAAAACATGGCCGATAATTTTGTTTTAAAACCAACTGCCACAAAACATATACATATTCCACCGATTAAATTTTGAATTATAGATGATATTGATATATCGTAACGGACAATTGTCAAAAACATGATAACGAGGAGTACACGACCTGAAAACATGAGTGAATATTTTTTCATAATAATCAAAGTGTACGATCGGTATTACTTACCAGTTAACTGCATGTAATTTTTCGGTGCATTATTATGCATTGTTGGTACACCAGCAAATAAAGTTCGACCTTCTTTACGATTTTCAACCAATAGTAGTATTAATCCACCGACTAATGCGCATGACCTATAACAGTCAAAAACATATTTCTTTTAGCTAAAACAGATTGCGTCATACTAGCAAAAAGAGCTTGTGAGTAGAACAACGAACCAATTCTATCGATTAAAAATGTCGCTTATAGGTGATTTATTTTTTATGTCAGTTACTATTCTGGTTAATTTCATGTTAATATACTGACATGTCACAGATAGCAGTAAAATAGATCAAACTATTCTCGAACTTAGTTCGAAAATATACTATAACTACGCATCTCTCAAGCCATTCACACTGCATAATATCATGCAAAGATGACTCACTTTAATGAATAACGAAAACTCCACAGAGTTTTATAGCCAACTACCTATAATCAAAAATGACAATAAAGGAACAAAACATGAGTTATTACCTAAGTAAAAATCGAGGTTCCCATATGATTCTGTATGCAATAGACTATAAAAGAAAAAAAAGAAATAAATATAAAATATAACTAAAACTTTTTACTGCACTGGTATTCAACAATATCAACCTACAAAATTTAGCCTACATACTTTAACGAACAGAACTAGCCAGAGTTCTCAGAAATCAATTTTTTCAGCTATATTTGAGTCAAACTGAATACGCTTGACAATATAGCATCAAGATCTGAAATGTGGAATTTTTCGTAGTGAGGCCTACCAGACAAAAATCAGGCCCTTAGTCAGAGAATGAGCACGAGCTTGTGCCTTCAGATTTCATTTCTTCTGCTAAACTTTTCGCAGAATGAATGAATTTTTACTTGCAGATGGTTCTGTAGTGTTTTACTTCAGACAATTACAGTTTTCGGTACAGTTCGGTCTAATTCGAGGAGGGAGAAATATTTTCGAGTAGTAGCAGAAAGTTTCCTGAGTATAAAATTTTTGACGGCTTTACCACTAAAAAATTAATTAAAATGTTTTTCTTTGGCCTTTCTTGCCACAAGATCAAGGTGAACTGAAATGTTTCATGTGATTTGTCAGTAAAAGCTATTATAAAAATGTAGCTTGTCGATAAAATTTATAATTTCATAGAGATAAAACTATTTAACCTACTTGAAATGCAATAATGAAAAAAAGTACTCCACAAGCATATTCAGTTTTTTTACGTAATAAAATCATTGTACACGGGATTAATTGTCCAAATAAATTAATGATAACAAACAGCGTACCAATAAACCAGCCGACTCCCCAACTTGACATAATATACTGACGCTGTTCATTCCATTGCATGTACATACGAATACCATCTTCAATAAATGTACTAACTAGACAAAATCGTGCTGCATGTGGTAAAATATATTTTGTATGCTGTAAAAACTAAACGAAGAAGAATACGATTATTCACAGTCGCAACTTTAAGTATGAAAACAGATATTTACTGTGTCGACATAATCTTCAGCTCGGCTAAAAAGTTCTTGCCGTCGTTTCGGTGTGACTATATTCATTGCTAAAACACATACAATGAGTAGTAAACAAACAGCGTTGATAAGTCAGAAACCAAATAAGAGTATAAAACTTATCAAGTTCAAGATAGTGATCGAAAAAGGTGAAAATAATCCATACAAGAACCACTTTGGTTAGGATACGTTAGGACTGAGTTTAGTCCTAGCTTATCCTTGCATTTGGTTGGTTGGAACTCAATGATTAACTGTAGAATAGAATTCAGTTTTATTGAATTCCAATAAATGAATAAATTACTTGATTAAAGTAATACATTGAACGCACTTTGGAATCACAAATGAACAAGCTTGCTTTGAACAAGAACGAAGTAGAGGTGCTATCACAGAGTTTGATTGGTGGGTATAATCATTAATTTTTTTTTGAAGGGTAGGAACAGAAGAGAAATTTCTCGGTTTTCCTTTCGAAGCATGAGAACTGTTGAAAGCAAGCGTGAGTATGCGGGTTGGCAGCAATTAGCATTAGAGTATTTCTTACGTCCTCTAGGGACTAAGACTCGGTATAAAAATCGTTTTACTATTCTATGAATGAGTGTATAATATCTACTATTTTGCATTCGGAGAATATCTAAGAAGCGATAACAGCATTTGAAACTACGTTCTGTATTTCGATTAAGAGGAAACCAGTTGTAAACTGGCGATGGTGGATGTTTTTAACAATCGACGTCTGTACTCTAGAAATTATTTGGTAGCCCTACAATCAAGAAGAATTTTGAATTTTTCACGTTGATGTCAGCGCTTAATGTAACTCACCTATTTGGAACTGTTTCTACTTTGTTGGTTTCTCATTTTCGCGAGCTCCCTTGTATCTTGTACTTCTAGAACTTCATCTAGGTTTGTGTAGATTCGCTAGGCGCGAACGTACAGATTGGACTTAGTTATTTATCTGTTTATATAGTATTTTTGTCATTAATGCAAGGATAACAAATAAGATGCCGAAAATTTTCAAGATCACAAGTTCATAAACTTCAACATATATTAGAATTAAGCCAATGTTTAGTTTGTTACACAGTGTCCTTTTACACAATTGAGTTCAGATCAGCTAGACAGTTGGGACAAACTTTAGCCAAACGAAAATACGAGTTGACACTTAAGTTTTTTGATGAAACAAGAAGATTAGTCTTAACTATGATTAAGTCTTGGTTTAAATCCCCACTTAAGTTTCAGAGTTAAAGAATATTGATGAAGCGATTCGCATTTTCAGTCCTAGCAGAAACTGATGTAAAAGCTTAGGTTCCTTCATCGAAATGTCTGCATCCTTTTGACGAGCTATATGGTTTTAGACACTCCGGTGATCTTTCTTTTTCATAAATAAATACTTGCTGGTTTATACTCATTTTTCAAATAAAATTCTTCCTATCCTCATGTGTTACAGTGTTTTGTAAACACGTTATGAACACCAGTTTTTTTTCGATTGAACACCATGAGATAAACCTTAAGTTGAGCTAGTAAACTTAAAATTTCTCGTTCTACTTTAGGATGATTGACGATGGAAAAAGTATTTCTCATGAATTTCGTGCTCGAAGAGTAGATGGTATTGTCGATGGTTTAGAAGATGCTGCGAATCAGAGTCGCCTATCACATGATCGTATGTCAGCTGAAGAAGCACGACTATTTGCTGAAATATCAAAAGGCAACATTAAAAGACACAAAGCATTTTTAACAATAAGAAACAACATTGTAAGTAAAGTATAACACAATCAATATTATTTTATTATTATTTTTTTTCTTTTTCTAGTTACGATTGTGGTTTGATGAACCTCGATACCAGTTAACGTTTGATAAAGTTGTTGAAACATTAGGCAAAATCGATGCAACACTTTTATCTGGTAATTCATACTATCAGATTATTTTTTTATGAAGTTAAAAAGCTTGTTTTTCATTTTCAGAAGAACGTGTATTAGTCGGAAAAATTTTCTTCTATTTGGAACGTTATGGATATATTAATTTCGGTATTTTTCGTCGACAAACAACTACACCGGGTGAGTAAGTAAGGTGAGTTTCAAGTTCTCAAAACCTGAGACAAAGAAAAAATCAAATTTTATAAATGTTTTATAATATCTTCTTTAGAGAAAAAAAAAGGACAAATCATTATTATTGGCGCTGGAATAGCGGGGATTATAGCTGCCAGACAGTTACAATTTTTTGGTTTTGATACAATCATATTAGAAGCACGAGTAAAGGACTTAATGACTTGTTTTCCAGTCTCTTAAATTCACTAATTACTATTTTTGTTTTTAGGCTAGAATCGGTGGTCGAATAGCAACATTTCGAAAGAATGGCTACGTTGCTGATCTGGGCGCAATGGTTATCACTGGATTAGGTAGTGTATTGCAAAAAAAAAGAATATGTTCCATCTATTCATTTACCTGTTATTTGTTAGGTGGTAATCCAGTGTCTGTACTTCAGACACAAACAAATCTTGATCTTGTCCCTGTCAAACATAAGTGTCCAATGTATGAATGTTCTTCTGTTGTGGTATGTTATGCTATTAGTACGCTTACTACTTAGCACGCTTGAATTCGATTGAATATTTAGCCTCACTTTTAACTCTCATGTCTGTTCTAGTTGGCTAATTCATTTCTAAAACCTATCGAGATGTTGAGTTATAGAAGAAGGTGTTTGAAGGTTGACAAATAAATAAATGCCTACTTTTCGTTTGCTTTTTTGAACTTGAGTTTTTTTTTTTTTTTGTTTTTTATGCGGGGAAACGAATATTACTTGTTACATAATACAACAATATCTTTGCTTATTGTCTATTTGTTTTTATGTTTCATTTAAGGTTCCAAAAGCAAAAGATGAAGTCGTTGAACGTGAATTTAATCGTTTACTGGAAGCTTGTTCATATTTATCTCATACACTTGATGTTAGCGAAATAACAAAACAACCATTGTCCCTTGGTGATGTTTTCGAATTGTTGATACGGTAATGATAAATGTTGCTCTTATGATAAAAATAAGCCGTAAAATCATGCGTCTGTAGAGGAAATGTATCATGTTGAGTGCATGCAGATATGAAATGATTTCTAAATAGTTGTATTCCTTTCTTCCTAGAATTAGATGTGTTGTCAGTCGACATATCAATTAGATAAGAAAATGTTTATATTGCTTAATACTTTTTGTATTTTTAGTGTCCAAGAAAAAGCTGTACGTGAAAAGTATTTAGACTATTTACGAAGTATATCGAAGTTGAAGGAAAATCTACGTTCACTTGTAACTGAAGTATGTCTATCACTACCATTTATGTGGTCCTGCTTGTAGCTTATTTTATTTTATCTTTTTAGATGTATGAAATGCGTTCAAAATGTCTAAGTTTAAATAAAGATTATACGAATGTTATTCAAGTACCCGATAATGGAAATATTTTAGAAGAATTTGTTATACGGGATATTGCAAAAGATCTTGTTAAAGCAACAGACGTAAGAGTTTATTTCATATTACATTTAGTGTTAATTATGCAATTTTATTTTATTCTATCAGGATTATAGTCGGCTTGAAATACAGTGTGAACAATTGAAAGAACAAATTCGTATAGCAGAGGAAAATCCACCGCCGTATGTGAATTACAAATTATGTTACTTTTCTCATTATTTTTTTCTCTTTTAGACGCGTTTATCTCAGTGTACAAGATCGTCGTATCTTAGATTGGCATTGTGCTAATTTGGAATTTGCTAACGCAGCGCCTCTATCGTGCTTGTCCTTAAAATATTGGGATCAAGATGATGAATACGAATTTAGTGGCTGTCACTTGACTGGTGTGTAGCGTAAGGCTCTAAATAGACTAGTATTATGAAGTTTTACTGATTTATTTTTGACGTAGATAACCAGTTTTAAAGGCACCTCTTCTATTTGAGTCTGTTTTCTGCTACACGTCATTTACGTAATGACACAAAAGCCAGGTTAATTCTGTATTCTCTAAAGGGAGGTGATCTTTAAGGCTATTTAGATGTCATGGTCGTCATACTTAGCTACATTAAATAGACATTGTTTAATAAGATTTCACTAATTAAAGAAAGATAGATATTTTTAAATGAGAATATTTCTAAAGAAGCGAAAGTGTGAGAACCTACGTTTATTTGTTTCTCTTCTTTTAGTGCGAAATGGTTATTCCGTATTGCCTATTGCATTGTGTGAAAATTTAAGTATTAAATTGAAACATATTGTTAAAAAAATTGTATATACCGCAAGTGGTAAGAACTACTACGCTTAAAGACATGAATTTATTTCCAGTTCTACTTCTTCTATTATGTAGGTGTTCATGTTCATGTTGAAAGTGGTGATGAGTCCAAAGCTTTGATATATGAAGGGGATGCTGTATTAGTTACAGTACCGTTAGGTGTTTTGAAAGAAAATGTCATTGAATTTGAACCAACGTTACCAGAATGGAAACAATCGGCTATCGATCGATTAGGATTTGGAAATTTGAATAAAGTAATGTCTCGATTCTAACGATATAAATATGAACAAACTATAATGAAAATGATTTTTCTTTAGGTTGTATTGTGTTTTGAAAAAGTCTTCTGGGATCCAACTCACACTTTATTTGCTCACGTTGAAGCATCAACGTCATGTCGTGGTGAATTATTTTTATTCTGGTGTTTTGTTAAACCACCGGTACTTATTGCATATATTGCTGGTGAAGCGGCCAATGTTGTTGAATGTGCAACAGACGATATTATTATTGGACGAACACTCGTTGTACTTAGAAATATATTTGGAACCGCTTCTGTACCGACGGTATGACTGTTAAAGTTTTAAAAACAACTCGTTGTGGGTTGACTAACAATTTTTTTTCTCTGCAGCCAAAAGACACAATAGTTACACGATGGAAAAGTGATCCGTTTGCTCGTGGTTCTTACTCGTATGTGGCTGTTGGAGCCTCAGGTAATGCAAACATTATAAAGAACGATTTTAGTAGCCTTAGCGTTCCTTTTGTTTCTTCTAGGCGATGACTATGATATTCTTGGACGTCCTGTTGTAAGAGAAGATGAAATTAAGCCAAGATTGTATTTTGGTGGGGAACATACAAATCGAAATTATCCAGCAACTGTCCACGGCGCTTTACTGAGTGGTCTGAGAGAAGCAAGACGTATTGCTGGTATGACTTTGTCTTATGCTCCTATCTCATCTCATATGGTTAGAGACACTTTTTATTTTAGATACGTTCCTTGGTTCCATTTGCGAAGTTTCGACTAATTAAAATATGACTTTTCCTAAGATCTTTTTATTTTATTGTTTTTGAAAAGATTACTGTACCTCTATTTTAAGAGATATTATAGGTGCGCTCGCTAAATAAAATTAATGTTGTACATTCTGGAATCTTTTGTTCAATTGAGCAAAGTACAGTGAGTCTGTTAACTGGAAGTCTGCATTAGATAAATATTCCATGAACATTTCCTCATTTTATTCGCTGTACATAAACACATAATAAGAGATTTTTAGCAAAATGTTTTCCGGTTTGCTTAGTTTAGGCTTGAAATTTTATCCGTCCATATCAGGGACGTTTGAGGCACAATTCCTCAAACAAAATAGGTGGACGCTTTTTTGCTGTAAAAATTCATTTTCCAGATGGTACACTGAAGACTCGAACCTCTGAGATGGTACAAAAGGCCTCAGATACTTAGGTTCATATCTTAGGTTGACACCGCGGGTTCATATCCAAGATAAAACTCACATGAGAATAGTAGTTTTTAAATGAGAAAAAGAAAATTCAATTCAGAGTTCTTATTTCTTCTGACACTGGCATTTGCTATCTGGTCGCGAGTGTAAACAACAGAATAATGACATATGACGCAAGAAAAGGTATACCGTGGGCACGCGCGACATTTGTGCGCACAATGTATCACACGACATTTGGGTGCAACGACAGTTGAGGTTCAAAGGCGCCGGTGCGGATGTAGGTTAGGGTAATGGTGAGTATCGATGAAGATTAAACAAAAAGTGATTACAGTTGGATATGAGTAATATAGAAAAAGCTCTCATACCGTACCAAGTTTGTTTAAAGAAAATTTTATCGTTATGCAGCATACTTTAACAAATGCACTCTTACTGAATGCTTTTGTCGTACATGCACCCAAATGCCGTTATGCCCGAACGTCGCTGCTCCGAAATGTCGACGCCCAAATGTCTGGTAATCCCATGAAAAAGAAGAGTCATCGGTTCATTCGAGATATAGATCTTCGTTAGAGAAAATAAACATTTCTTGTGTTAACAAGTTATAAACAACAACAAGTTGTGCTAACAGTTTATAGTAATTGCTTTCTGTCTATGAAATGATGAATGACTGTGATCTGAACGAGCTTATATAACAGAACACAGTAAGTGTCGAAGCCATCCAACCCGATGGAATCGCATATATGCTTCAATAAACCATATTTACATCCTGGTGGGGTGCTGTGTGTTGGCCGTCAAACGGTTTGAAAGCTGGCCATACGAGTGCGTGTATTGTATAGACAAAAGGCAAGGAAATAGTATCAAGATGTGGCGATATCAGGATGTGCATATGGCTCATTTGACAAGTTACTGTGTCTAGAACGTAATCTCTTCGTGTATCGAAAATAACAAGGAAGATGCTCCAAAGGCAAAAGTGGAGCAGAATTGGTTTCTCCTTGATTTACACGTGATTGGATAGAGCTGGTGGAGTAGAAAGGTTAAGGTTGTTGGTAGTACGTTGTTGAAATTATTTTATTCGGATTCAGCATCAGAAATTGAGTACGACTCTGTAGGAGCGAGTGAATTTGACCGCGGTTCTCTCACCCAGCAAACTCGAATAGAACGACCTCTGGACATCCTGACACCTGGATCTGGGAAACCTATCTAGCTTTTTGTCTCAAGAGCTTTACTCGACTTTTTTCCCTCGAATCGGAATTCTGCCTCTAATTCACAATTTTCTTCATCAGAATTCAACTTTTACGCACTGAAAATATCATATTCGGAATCAGCGTCAAAAATCGAGTTGAAAGATGTACCTTTTTTTATCCTATTCGATCACTTTGATTTTTTTTTGAATTTTCACGCTGAATAATTAATTATTAAGATTTTCGTCAAAAAATGAAAATCAACGAAAAATTTTGAAATATGTATTATTCGACTCGATTTTTGACGCTGATTCCGAGTATGATATTTTCAGTGCGTAAAAGTTGAAGTCTGATGAAGAAAACTGCGAATTAAGGATAGCGTTTCGATTTTTCTCCGTAACGTTGACTTTTTTCAGCGAGTGAACAAAATTTTACAAAGCCGTTACATACTTTTATTCCCTGGCAGTTGACAATTAAAATGATACCTGGAAGTCAAATAAAGCTCTTGAGACAAAAAGCTAGATAGGTTTCCCAGATCCAGATTTCAGGATGTCCAGAGGTCGTCCTATTTGAGCTTGCTGGACGAGAGGACCGCGGTCAAATTCGCTCGCTCCTACATAGTCGTACTCAATTTCTGATCCGAATAAAATATTTTCAATAACCTAAATTACACGCAAACTGACGAAATCCTCAATTTTCTTCTTTTTTTTTTTTTTTTTTAAACCCAGCGCACGTGACCAGCTGAAAATCGCGGCACGCCCC